TTGAAAATGCACGTATCATTTTATTGCTTTTGCACATTTGACTTCATGATTTTTTCTTACCAATTAACCTACAGTTATTATGGAAGGAAAGATAAGTCGAGGAAGATCGCCACCCAGGTGGACGGACATTGTAAGGGAGGCCACAAACACCAGCGTCCCAGGGGCCATTAAGCAGGTCGAATGCAGGCAACGTTCCAGAAGCTGATGCAGAAACTAGACCACACCTTGGTCTAACGACCCTCAGTAATGAGGAAGCGACGGAGAAGAAGAGATTATATTATTTTGTTTGGTTTATTTTGAGTAATATTATTATTCTATTATATTGAGTAATATGTCTCTTAACACCAGGTAATCCGTGAAAACGAAAGCGCATCTATGCTCATAAATAAAATCTCAAAAATTCGTTTGTTGACATCAAAATGTATAAAACCCAATTTTTTATTTTATTCGAAAGATTACGATTCCAGAAACCTTGGTGATTTAACAAAAGATAAATGTTTATGATGTGTTGTATGCTAAAATAACTGACACACTTAGAGGGTGTAATCTCGGGACGTTTTATTCTAAAAGCTTTATTGATCTATTTATCTATCTTTTACTTTGCTATAATGTGCTCTTCTGTATTTTGAGAATTCGTATCAATCTTTGTAAATTGCTCTCTGAAATAACATTTGGGTTATTAATAAGTATTTATGGTCTTTAAAAAGGCTCATTGCCGTTACACGTGGGCATCGGCATTCTTCGTCGATCATAATCACCACGTCGAGCGCGTACTGTTGATTTTTTTCCACTCTTCTTAAATGACGTTGACAGCTGTCAGGGGAGCAGAATCTGTCACTCGAACTCCTCTCATAATTTTATTTAGCCTAACGATGCTGTAAGACCCAAGCTTGGGTAGTAAAAAATCTCATTTAGTCATCAAACATATCCTGGCTGCACTAGGTATATACTACTAGTTACCTACCACACGAGTGACCCAGTGGAAAGGACCACTATGCAAGAGAGAGAAGGGGAGACCCTTAGGGCGTTGGGAAGATGATTTAAAAAGCTTAGCTGGCATAAACTGGCACTTTATAACACAAGACAGACAAACAACAAAGTTATGGACATTGTATAATTATTTAATAATAATAAGTTTCGCCAGTTTTCGTGTATCTTAGACATAATTATAACGAATATTACGGTTCAATTTCGCGTTTTCACAGTAGCTCGTCTGTGACCACGATAACTGCAGAGTATTTAAAACGTCAGAAATATTAAAGTAACGCGAGATTATACCGTAAAAATTGTTTGAATAAAATAAAACTAAAAATTTTTACTATAATGAAGTAAGAGATTTCATGTTTCAGACAGTTTTGAATAGTTCAAATTCGGACCAGAATAATCATAGACCTATAGGTTTCATATTTCAGGGAGAATAATCTATAGTGTATTCTCTATGACATATTAAGTAATCCTTTGCTAATGAAATTGATCAACGTATTTCTTGCCATTATGAATAATAAGTAAAAACAATAGTAGTAGTGTATTTGTCAATATCAAGACTCTGAATCAAGATTCACTAAAATTTAAATTAAACTAGTTTGTTTTATTCGATTCTTCTTTTGAAAGCTCATAGGATAGGCGGTCAGCTGTCGAGCACCGTTAACTGTCAAATAATGATGACAGGTAGGTAGATTGCATAGGTAGGTACTCACATAGCCGGCGTGGAGTCTGGGGGCGGGCGGGCGCGCGGGTGTGCGCGTGCGTGGCGCGGGCGACGTGCGTCGACGCGCCCCCCCGCCCGTGAATATCATCGGCTAGTGCGCATGCTGCAGCACCGACCTCACCCGCACTCTGGACGCCGAGCCGCCGGCCCTGCGATCGCGCTGACGCCGGCACACTTGCGTATTTATAAACGAAATACCACGCGCTCTATTCACGGCCGGATACAACTTTTTACACGACTTTCAGCACTTACGCCGTCCGGAGCACTGAATAGGCGTTACGGGCTCCCTGAATTGTCTGGCGAACTCGGCATGAGTCACCGTACCACCGGCACCTTGCCGACGAAGCTTTAACTTGGAAAACACGAGATTTCAATAAGAATTTATTTCAAATCATCTCGACTGCTTTAAATGCAAATAATGGACGCAGATAGTGTGTTTATTTTTAGCTGGCTCTACCCGTCGATATGTGGACGGTACAAAAGAAAACGTTACATTGCGAGAAATTGTTTAGAATCGTTAAAAATGCCAACACCTCCGCTTTTATGAAGCATCAAAATACCTTTCGAATAAGAAAAGCTGAATGTCATCAAGTCATTCCGTCATACTTTTTTTTAGTTTTGACCTCTATTGTACTTGAATGGAAATTAAATATTTAAGTTTCGATGTTCATGTTTCGATTTATTGGTAAACATGTTTCGTTGAGACCAGTTGTCTTATAAACGACGTGACTATGAAAACGGTAAAGTATTCAAAATATTGGAAGCCCGCGGCCGCTCGGGTCTTTAACAAAAATTTCAACGATATTTCTCGTTGTTTAATTTTTTTAAATAAAAAAAACACTTATTGCATAACAAGAATAGTTAGACATATACTATCGTGACACATTTTGACATTATTTTATTCTATCATCAAAATTTTTCGCAGGGCACGCGATGTAAAGGTTTTAAGTAGTTTTTTTTACACCTTGGGTAACATTATTAGGATTTTAGTAAGGATCCCAAATTTTTTTCAAAAAAGATTATAGCCTGTGTCACTCGAGAATAATGTAGCTTCCAAACAGTGAAAGAATTTTTCAAATCGGTTCAGTAGTTTCGGAGCCTATTCAATACAAACAAACAAATCTTTCCTCTTTATAATATTACTAGCTGACCCGGCAAACGTTGTGTTGCCTTAAATAAGATTTCTAGGGAAATCTACTGTAGAAAAAAAACCTCATTTAACCACATAATACCTCATTATAAACAAAAAAAAAATCCAAAAAATTAAAATAAAAAATAAATGTTTGGGGTGGACAACCCTTTTCACTTAGGGGTATGAAAAATAGATAGTTTTTTTTTTTTTTTTTTTGTCATGAGGAAATCGCCGGACTCGAACCGACTAAAACCTCCTGTCGCTCATGAGACAGAACTCATGTAAAGGCAAGGGGAGGAGAGTGAAGCGTTTAGTGCGGAGCACATCTCTCTCATCACCCTCCCCCTCGGGACGCCGGGCCAGCGATCGTCGGCGCCACGACCACCAGCCCTCTCGGTCGGCAGGCTGTCCGAAGCCCGCCTAGATGGCGCCGGTTTGAATTGGTTATCCTACGAAATACCCCGCTGGGTCAGAACCAGCGTGGGNACGGGTCGTGGAAGGCGATGCTCGACTTCTGCGAGTGCACCATCTCGCAGAAGGAGGCGGCGGGGCGCGTTAGAGACGCGCAAGCCCGCCGCCGTCGAGCGGGGGCCAGGGAGGCGGATCTCGCCCAAGCCCTGGCCCTCTAAGTGTTTCGGGTCCCCCTCATATGTCGGTTTGGGGACCGGCGAGGGGGACCTCAGAAGACGTCGTGCAAGCTGCTCTGCACGCGTTTTACGCAAGAGCATCCGGGTGATGGAAGGCCGGCTATCCTCGACCCACGCTGGTTCTGACCCAGCGGGGTATTCCGTAGGATAGCTCACTCTAACCGGCGCCATCTAGGCGGGCTCCGGATAGCCTGCCGACCGAGAGGGCTGGTGGTCGTGGCGCGGACGACTGCCAATCCGGCGTCCCGAGGGGGAGGGTGATGGGAGAGATGTGCTCCCCACTAAACACTTCACTTTCCCCCTTTGCCTTTTCATGAGCTCTGTCTCATGTGAGGTTTGGACGTTGGTTGTTGAGCGACAGGAGGTTTTAGTCGGTTCGACTCCGACAAGCTCCGCCCGCCGTCCCCAGTGGAGGGCGGAAGTCCGGCGATTTCCTCCTGACCAAAAAAAAAAAAAAAGTATAGATTACAGATAATGATATGAACATAATGAACGCAATATTCATTCGTAAAAGCGATTTTCATTAGGTCCACGACACACAGCAACCGTAGGAAACACTCCATTATTACGGAACACTGTCGCTCAACTTCATTCGGTTTCGGTATTGAAATTACGAAACCAAATTCTTATACAGAGCTCTGCTTCTATTCCGAGAACTTAAAGACTATAATTTTATCGTTTAAGCCTAGAATAGCACCACCCCATCCCATCCCATGAGCGTCCTAAGCTGTTGTTGTGTTTGTTAATTAGGCGAATAGGCAACAGTGTTCAGCGCGCTTTTTTATTTATTTATTGCTTAGATAGGAGGACGAGCTCACAGCCCACCTGGTGTTAAGTGGTTACCGGAGCCCATAGACATCTACAACGTAAATGCGCCACCCACCTTGAGATAAAGTTCTAAGGTCTCAGTATAGTTACAACGGCTACCCCGCCCTTCAAACCGAAACGCATTACTGCTTCACGGCAGAAATAGGCAGGGTGGTCTCACAAGAGGTCCTACCACCAGTAAGAAGCGTGCTTCACATACTGTGTACTACTACTACAATATTACTAGTTGAACATACTGCGTTCAGAATTTACTCTATTTATTGATGGTAGGGTCGTTTCTGAAAAGTTACCTTCTAGCCTATTACTGCCACAAAGCAATAATTTATATACATAGGCAAGTTAGGACAGCCGTAGTATAAAACAATTGTGACTTCGACATTTCATTTATTACATATCAGGTATAGGCCAAAAGCAAATCTATCTATCCAGTGCCATAAGATGGTTCACTATTAAATCAAATCTTTGATCTTGGATACCATGAAATGGTTGTAGAAAATCAATCAATCCGGCCAATTTTACGAGCGATCTCCGATCAAAAGCCAGTTGCCCACGCGAACCTTTCGAACTGTTTTTTTTTTGTTGCTCCAAATAAACAAATGGTAATCAAAGTAGCAGTTATTATTTTTGCCTAAAATATTGATTGCACATAACGGAATTTGTTAAAATAAAAAATAAAATTGTTTTTTTGGTTGCTTTTATTTCGCTGAATGAATTAAGCTGTTACCGTACCGCGTAAGTAACTATTACAGTCACAACACTTTAGAGTCGTTACTTAGTGCTTTTGATTCAATAACGTAAAAAGACTATATGACGATTTCAAAACCTGAAAAAAAAGATATTAAAATTAATTGAAAATCAAATTTAAATTACATATATCACTAATAAAAAAAACTATTTTAATTAACCATACTCACTGAAATATAAGTTTCTAATGACATCGGAATGACGTAGGCAGTACGCGGTGTTAGAGGCTTGGAGCAGTACTGCATCATGATCAGCATTTGCCGTCGGACCTTTGGTAATGATGACAACCAATTGCTGCAGTACAACGAAGTGTTCACAGACTCGCTCTGATGATGTACAGAAAAGTTAATTTTTCTAATTGCCCTTTGAAGTAACTGACATTAAAAGAAAAGAAATTGATTTGAAAACGAAGTAATATCAACTTAAGTAAGTCTTCTGACTAAATTAAGCCATGATTGAAACTAAAATATGTTATTTTTTCGTTGGAAGCATTGTCAGTGGCCCGGTGGCCTTTTCAGCTTCGCCTCAGAGCTGGTAAGGAGCTCGACAACCTAATCTAAAGAAGGAGGGGCTTACAAACACTCGCTTTAAGAATATGCATACCTATCAATGAATATCATCGCGAGAATGGTGAGAAACTCAGCGGGCTGAAGCTATTGGCTTAGAGTACGAGTATGGTGACCTGTGATCATGAAAAAGCGTTCCAAGGCTGTCTTCTAACACATACGGATGAATTCAAGCTTTACATCGTCGTGAAGAACCACATTCTTCACGTACTATTGTGCTCTCACAACCAACCTATAGAAAATTGAAGAGTTTGGAGGAAATCTCGTCGTTGTCATCGGCTTGATCGTTTACCGGTGGTAGGACCTCTTGTGAGTCCGCATGGGTAGGTACCTGCCTATTTCTGCCATGAAGCAGTAATGCGTTTGGGTTTAAAAGGTGGGGCAGCCGTTGTAACTATACTAGACCTTAGAACTTATATCTCAAGGTTGGTGGCGCATTTACGTTGTAGATGTCTATGGGCTCCAGTAACCACTTAACACCAGGTGGGCTGTGAGCTCATCCACCTATCAAAGCAATAAAGAAAAAACATATTGAACTTTTGTAAAGGGTCACCGTATTACAAAAGGATAGTTTAGTCCGCTTAGGGGCTTACTAAAAATAATGAAGGCACCAACTTGGACTAATTTTATATGAAGACCACCGAGCTCATCGAGTTATCCAGGATGACTCTCAGATACTTGGTCATCCTGGCCCAGAGTATCAACTGATTAAACGGGGTGATCGGAGAGTGGTGTTCTTGCATCTCAATTTGACTCGAGCTCCCCGTTTGAAACAGCAAAATCGTACTTGTTGAAGTCCATGATATTTTACTTATTGGAGTTGTCCAATAAGTAAAATATCATGGACGCTCAAGATATCAAATAAATACATATTTTTTCTTATTAGAGAAAATTTTCGTACCTCAACTTTAAGCTGAGTTCCGTAATAACAGTAAATAAAAAGCTGCGCCAACATACACCCCAAGTATACTCCCATAGAAACAAACTCGGCTGAGTATATGCTTAGCTGAAAAATACAAACGTGCATTTGAAAAGGTTGTCCCAAAATTTCTGTTGATTTATTTCTGATTGTTAGGTGATATGGGATTATAAGCGGTTCGACTCCAAGACCCAACGTCTAGACTAGGAAGGTTGGTGATTTCCTCCTGAACCAAATAAACTGTCCAAGCCTCGAACTAAACACAACGCAATCGTGGCAGATACCAGCTGATATGGGTACTATATACCCATATCCTGGAATGCTCACTCATAACCAGTGCAGGCTAGCGAGAGCGGCCTTATTTCTTTTCCACTAGTGGTCCCGCAGTAGTCGAAATTCGAATATAATTAATTGTAATTGTAAGTTTGTACACTATTATGATTCTATTTTCAAATACTATTATACTTCTATAATCACAAATTTCACCAAGACCACACTATAGAAAAATATTAATAAAGACAAACAATATTTAATCTATTCTCAATTTGACCACAGACGTCAAGAACAAAAGTTTGACAATAAATAAATAGTATGCATGCGTGTGAGCGTCAAATACATGGTAGTGTGTGTGTGTAATTATTTATTGATTTATTGATTTAATGTATTTTAGGCATAATTAAAAAAAATATTAGCATTGTGCACTCCTTCTCTACATTCTCTATAAGTGTGGGAAATTTCATACTCCTCCGTCGGCGCAATTTTCGTAAAAAGGGATACAAAGTTTTTCCTTCACGTATTAATATATACATTACTCATTTTGACATGTTATTGTACGTACATAGCCGAAAATTCAATAAGCCTACATTACATATGAACAATAAGCATTTTGGCGCTGACATGACAAAAAATTGTTAACTTTGTTTTTATTGCTTGCTTGCTTGCTTGCCATAAGAGAATACAGCCTACGTGACATAGCGACTAGGCACCGTCGCCCATAGACTTCGTAATGTGAAGATCATCGCCGAGCCCCTTAGAATTTGTAGTTGTTAATATTAGGGTATTAGAATTATAAATACATGAAATCGTATAAAGAGAATTTAATTTAATAAGACAGTGTCCAGTACATACTTACTCCAACGATTTTATATACAGTCATACAAATGACCCACGCCATTACGAAAAACTGTACAGTCATAGCTTCGCCGAATATAGATTCTACCTCTTTCACGAACCTGCAACATTTAAAAATAACTATAAAAAAAGGATTTAAAACTTTATTCGATGAAGTTAAAATTGATGGCTGTTGTTTACACAGTTGTTAATGAATCAGCTCATGTACGGTAGTTAAAATCACGATAGTTTCTCCAATGTGGGCGCTGCTTATTCTTGGAACGAACTNAGTCATAGCTTCGCCGAATATAGATTCTACCTCTTTCACGAACCTGCAACATTTAAAAATAACTATAAAAAAAGGATTTAAAACTTTATTCGATGAAGTTAAAATTGATGGCTGTTGTTTACACAGTTGTTAATGAATCAGCTCATGTACGGTAGTTAAAATCACGATAGTTTCTCCAATGTGGGCGCTGCTTATTCTTGGAACGAACTGTAATTGACATCAGTGTTTTGTACTCTGTACATTGCGGACTCACTAAATATCACGTTAATGGTATTTATGCTGAGCTTTTTTTTTATTGCTTAGATGTGTGGACGAGCTCACAGCCCACCTGGTGTTAGGTGGTTACTGGAGCTCATAGACATCTACGCCGTAAATGCGTCACCCACTTTGAGATATAAGTTCTAAGGTCTCAAGTATAATTACAACGGCTGCCCCACCCTTCAAACCGAAACGTATTACTGCTTCACGGCAGAAATAGGCGGGGTGGCGGTACCTACCTGCGCGGACTCACAAGAGGTCCTACCACCAGTAATAGTGAGCTTAGTAATTTAATATCGTTTTCCGTTGATGTTGTATTTCAAGTGTTTGGAAAACATAATTCACACCATCAGGTGGGTCGCAAACTCTTCTGCCTACAAAGGCAACAAAAAATAATGAGAATTTTGGTTACCAAACAATTTGTCGGTAATGTTCAACACAGAAAACAAGCTTTGAATGTATTTTTATCTTTTCATCCTTCAATGCTTTCCATATGTGACTGGAACGTTCAAAAATATTTTCCGTAAATTTTGTTTCAATGTTATCGATTTTTTCGAATTGTTCCAGATCATATCTGAGCATTTTGATTTGTGTTTTCGCTTGAGAGTAAAACGCTACAATCGTGCAATCCATCGTCACGTTGCCATAAGCTTGTAACGTAATAAGTATTGACATATATGCCAAAACAATTTCGAATCTGAAAAATAAATGTGTGATCAGCACAATCTTAAAAATAATGCTTAATATTTTTTTCATGTATGATTTTCTAAATAACTTAGTATTTGTATTGATAAATTTATATTAAAGGATATGAGTTTATTTTTAATAATAACAATGTTATTGTAAAGGTTATGAACCGCTTGTTTGTAATACGAAAGAACAAATTTGAGAAAGGATATCATTATTAACAGCTGTTAGAGAATTTAGTCAATTTTATTGTCACTTTTATGCAATCTATGAATTTCAGTTTAATTTTTGTACAGTTATTTTCTATTTTTGTGTATCTGTATTCTTTGTACGAGGAGCATTGCTGCTTGAGATACCTACAAGCTTTATCACCTAGTTCAATCACAGATGCAAATTATGATTGTGTTTCTACTATGTTAATAATAAATAAATAAAATTGTCCATCAACACGTACGTGGGTGACTCAGCTGTATCAAATGGAAAATATGCTGTGAATTGTACATTTTCCCCCAAAGCACGATTTACGAGTGGAAAGATAGTCCAAAGTATTCCGCAAGTAAATATGGCTACGTGATATAGTCTCAGTATTCTATACATGGCCAGTGCGTTTTCCTTCATAATGTCCACATGATATCGATTGGTTGCAGCAAAGTAGACCCCTGAGAATTAGACATTAATTGCAATTGATGTTTTATCCAATACCGATTTTTTTTATGTTGAATTGTATGCGTGTGAGTACTTTTACAGGGATAAGAATTCAAAGAGTAGGTATAAACGAGACAGTCCTTATGTGTCTAGATGGTCATGACATTTAAATTGTGGTATTCATAGGCGGAGGTAATCGCTGAAAAACAGATTGAACACTAAGGGGGCGTGAGCTCTTCATTCTACACAACGTGGAAAGACAACAACTAATTAAACATAATAAAATTGTATCTGGCTATACTCACCATTCATTACGTCAATAATTTTATCAATGCGATGAACTCTAAGATTGAATGCTAGTTGTTTTCCAAAAGTGTTCAATGTCGTAAGCAAAATAAATAAGATGTCGACTATTCTTTCAGTGCTGCGTCGTACCTGCTTCGAAACTACTTGTGTAGATATTTATTAGGTTTTATTTATTAGCTTTAAGTTACATTTATTTAGGTTTTATCTATATATCAGGTGTGTATAACAAAAAAAATCGTATTCTAACAATTCAATCCTTCCAAAAGCTCTTAGTAATATCTATTTCATGATAGTTTATTTATTTTGACGGGTGAATCAGATAATATTTTAGCTTGAAAGACACGAAGAACACGATGAATTTTTTAAATATCAACATAATATGCCCCTATATAATCCTATCCTAAGATAAGCCGGGTTGCTGAATTAGCTGAATTAGAATTAATTAGAAGTTTAACAGTTTACATTGAAAAAAAAAGTGGTGTGAGTAGTTGCCGTGACTCATAGACATCAACAATGTTGAAAGTAATCCTACCACGGTACTCACCACCAATGTATCTGCAATTTCGAAACGTGATATTTATAATTTTGTCGGCAGTTGCGACATCGATGAAATGTAGATCTATCTATCTATTCCATTTCAGACTAATAGGCAGAGTAAGAGGCATAGCTCGGAAAAATCTTCTCCGCTTATTGACAAATTTCTAGAAACTCCTACTCTCGGCAAAGTAAATATACCTACCTACGCTGAGAAAACAGAAAATTACTGGGCGCTGTAATTTATTAGATTCATTACCAAAATCGTGGTCACTAATTGGGAGCTGACTTCAATTTATTTTACCGGTTATAATATAATGGTACTTCAGTTTTCACGAGTTGTATACGTTGTATATGTTGTTTTCTTTACTGTTTTCGTGAAAACTTTACAAATGTCCGTGAAGACCGCAAAAACTGTAAGCCGTTCGATGGGTCGGAATACCAGCGAAAGGTTTTGATATTTGACTTTTGTTACAAAGAAATTTCTGACGCAACTTATGTATCCACCGAATTACCTGAATAACCAAGATTAAATGTTGTAAATTATACAGCACAACGAAAAACCACACGAGTACACGGCATAAAGCGTTAAAATAGGGTTTCTTAAATGATGTCGGCTTCATTATTTTGAGATAGCCGCCCCTAGCCAACGCATTGAAATGTGGCTTGAAGGCTTCTAATGTTGTATACGTCTTCGGTTCCATGATTCTTGTTGATGATTACTGATTCTACCAGTTTAACGACGAGAATATAATTGAAATCTAACCAGCAATTAAAAAAATCAGTATAATTTTAAGCGTCCGCGTTAAAATGTCAATCAATAGCATGAAATTGCTATCACAAACATGTTTAATCGTTCCCTTTTAAATTCTTAAATGGATAATTATAGGCTTTAAACAAACTGGATAGCGAGAAATAATTTTCGAATAGGGAAAAAAAATGTAAAAATTTATATTTCTTATTGGCCATATCTATGATCAGTTAATATTGAACTAACTATCGCTCCTGGGTTGCTTATTATACCTATAATAAAAGTACCTACCTAAAATTTGCAAAAAAATATCATGATAAAAAAAACTTCTTCAGCTATTTCAATGTAGTAAACATAATTGAAGTTCAATTAAAAACATCGAATTGTTGATACTAATACCGAATAAAACGGATCTTTAATTACAAAGATAAATGTCGCTTAAACCAAATAGCCTTTCACCCCTTGATATTATATGTGGGCCAGTTTGGCTGTGTGGCATAAAATTACAGCAATTCAACCCTACCGGTAGGTGCCGCTATTCCGCCTATTTACGCTGCGAAGCAACTTTACATCTGAAGGTAGGTGGCGCATTTACCTTGTAGATATCTTTGGGCTCGAGTAACCACTTAACACCTGGTGGGCTGAGATCTTTTTTTTTTACTTAAGCTGAAATCCTTGAGAGGCTATTTCAGCGTTACCTTAACTAGTAGGTGAGCTCACGGGGCTCAAACCTGGCGACCTTGCTAACACGAACCCTAGTAAGAGCCGTGCTTCGCAGAATCTATCACTGGATCGGAAACGCGACCCACTGAGAAGATACGGCGAGAAACTCAGTGGGCTGTGTCTATGGGTTAATTTACTCGGCGAGCCCTTCGTCGCAAGCGACGGGTTCGACGAGAACGGTGACCGGTGCTTGAGGTACCTAAAAGCACCGTTAGTGGATCGGGAGGATCCGAAATGACGTGTTTGGGGCGACGTCGACTGCTTTCCATTCTGTCTACGGGATCGGGAATGTAGTTACCGGCGGCCACGATAAGAGGGTTCTCGTGTCGTGCCGCTTTATCGAAGTGGCTGTGAGCTCGTTCACCCATCTAGGCAATAAAAAAAATAACTGCCTCAAAACAGTCGCACATTCGAAGGCTGTGACAACGGTCATACAGTTAAGACTACGATATTGTCTCAGGGTTGCTGATGGAATTCACAATGCGATGAGTATTTCCTACTGTTCCGAGTTACAATTCAGCTCTTAAGAGTTTGTGGGTTTTGTTTGCACAGTCCTAACGTCCTTCTGGTTCTGTGGTAAGGAAGTCGAGCATTTAAGCTAAAACGGTTGGGATAATATGATTATTGAAGCACTATTGAGTCTATAATAATAATAATAATATTGTCTAATTAATAAGATTTTAAATAAATATAAATAAATAATAATAATAGTTATACATATCACAAAGACGAGATTTCTCAGTCTGGAACACTACGCTGGTATCTCGGGTCGGAGACACGCGCCCTTCAATATAATAGTATTTTAAAATTATAAACCGTTTTATAAAAAGCTTTTTTATTCATAACATTTCAAAAATATACTGTAAATAATAATAACGATTGATATGAATCCAGCTCGCCTAATCATGTTTCAATGAACCGTGGCGTCTGATTTCCAATGTCGGTATGACCGTTACAACAATTTGGACCTTCTTTTTCTCGAGGAAATTCACTGTCCGAAATGCTTATTATTTTATCTCTTGATTATTTACAGCACATTTGGTTAAGGAATAATAAGGAACAAGATACATACTCTGGATCAATCATAATGAATATAAGCCCAAACTTTTAAGAAATTATTTATTTGTTATATTCTATACGAAAATAATCATTTCAGTGTTTTATTTGGTTTCCAGCTCTGGTCGAGCGCGGGGGCCGCGTGACCCTCCGTGCAACCTTTGGAATGTGAAAATGAAAATTTCGAGCTCAACCCACAAAATACCACAAGTTTGTACTAAGTTTAAATGCCAGTGTGGTCTCTAAATATGGCCATTGCATCAGTAATAACCAACAATGTTGCATCGTTATAATTTAATTATGTATTTATAAATATTACTACACAATCTATTAGTCACATAATATACAAGATTTGTTTGAACCCAGAGCTCGTAAAGTCGAATGCATTGTCCGCTTGTCAGCACTAAGTTCGTGTACCGCCGTGTCAGCGCGAGCGTCACGCGCGACATCAATCTATTACTATTTCGGGGCACTGTCTCTTCGGCGAGGTTTCGTCGTCGACTGGCTCTTTCCTTTTGAGGGGTTTGGTTTCGTTGTCGTCCCGCATGCCGTCGACGTTGGACTGGTACTCGGGCGCGCCGGGCGCCGCCGCCAGCCGGTCGCCGCAGTCGTCCGCGTCGGCGTCGAGGCGCGCGGCGGCCGACTGCGAGGGCGCGATGTGGCCGCGCGCGCCGCCCGCCGGCTTCTTGCTCGTTTGCACTCGAGCTTTTATAGCTCTCGTCAACTGAACTATGTCGGCCGGGGAACCCTGCAAATTTAGTACACAGCATTCATCACGTCTGATCTGACAATTACACTCATCACTATACCACTACAATTATTTAATTAAATGAAAACGACTCTTCATTTGCTTTAGATTTTTTTGCGATTAGTGTGACACAATACTAACAGAATTAAACATAAACAGCTATCGAGCTTACGGATAAATTAGGTCTCAAAGTAAGCATCGCGCACTTTCTGTTGCCTTTTATCAGCATCGTGCTAGTACTAAGCACATTTACATAATGACCGTTTTGATAAGTTTTCTTTTATTTGCATGGATGATTCTTCGCAAATAATACGTCATTTATGAATGATAGCTTTTGCCCGCGACTCCTTCCGCGTGGAATAATTACTTCAGCATAACGCTAAATTTTACTCCCACTTCATTTACGTAGAAAGTGAAATAGAATGTCAAGGAGCGATTTTGAAACGTTCTTTATTGGTGCTCCACTTGTATTGGTCTTACCGTGATGTTATACAGCCTATAACCTTCCTCAATAAATGGGCCATCTAACACTGAAATAATTTTTCAAATCGGACCAGTAGTTCCTAAGATTTAAACAAACAAACTCTTCACCTTTATAATATTAGTATAGAAGACACATTTATCTTCTATAAACTACCTTAAGTAACGAAGGTAATCTATTCATCTCAAAATCTTCCGGTCTGTAATTTAGAAGTCGTAAAAGTACAATAAGGAGTGCATTACCATAATGAGGAACAGTTTGATCTGCTGTTGTGCGTCGAGCGCGGTGATGCGCAGCGACTTGGGTCCGGCCTGGTCGGCCAGCATGTCGGGCCACAGCTTGGTGTTGAGCACGACCCGCAGCGAGCCCGCCACGCGCACCACGAGCCGCGCGCCCCCGCCCCCCGCCGCCCCCGCCCCGCCGCCGCCGCACTCGTTGAGCCGCAGCACGCCGCGCCCGCGCTCCCGCCAGCTGCCCGCCTCCCACGCGAACAACCGACATGAGATCTGATAATGTACAACAACCTTTAGAATTCGTTCTTAGTGGACCATAAACTACAACTAAAACGTTAATAGAGTAAAACCTTAACTGGTGGTAGGACCTTTTGTGAGTCGGGACGGGTAGGTACCACCGCCTGGCCTATTTCTGCCGTGAAGCAGTAATGCGTTTCGGTTTGAAGGGTGGGACAGCCGTTGTAACTATACTGAGAGCTTAGAACTTATATCTCAAGGTAGGTGGCGCATTTACGTTGTAAATGTCTATGGGCTCCAGTAACCACTTAACACCAGGTGGGCTGTGAGCTCATTCAGCCATCTAAGCAATAAATAAATAAAAAACCTTAACTGATTTAAGGTAAGGTTTAATGGTAGGCAGCGGCTTGGCTCTCTCCCTGGCATTGCTGAAGTCCATGGGCGACGGTAACCACTCACTATCAGGTGGACCGTATGCTCGTCTGCCTACAAGGACAATAAAAAAAAATGATTAACAGGTCTTTTTATTTTTATGTCTTAGTAAAATTTGGATTATTTCAAGTCAAGCTTCATTTTGCAATACATTCTCTAAGCATTGTTTATAAAGCATTTCAATGATAATACAGGGTGTTAAGGATCTCGAAATCCCCCTCCAAACAAATTTTTATTCTCACCCACCACCGAGCTTCACTTCATCGAGCGATCGCGAACGCATATACATCTTTAACGATTACATTATCTACTACACTCATATTGCACTTCATGATTATTTGTTCTTCAGTTTTTATCTTTTAATAAGCCTGTAAATAAGAGCCAAATCGTTTCATTGAAGAGAACAAGACATCCAGCACGGAACACAGGGTATTCAATATGTACGAGACTGCGTAAACTAATGCATCAATAAATAAATAAAAACTGTAATTTATTATTAAGTAGTTTTAAAAACCTGTAAAACATTTGTTTCATCCTCTTCCCCAGTGATTGTACAGTTTGTAGTAGGCGGTAGAGGTCGTGCATGTGATCTTTCGTATTCTGCAGCAGCTGCTACTAACGCATCACGATTACTTGTTTCAGCTCTACTAGACTCAGATTCCTGAAAAATACATTTCTAAATGTATTACATAATATCTTTATCTTAAAATCTTTACTTTGCGATACTAATAGTAATGTAACCCATTAGCTACTATTCATAAATTTTATGTGTTTTTCTAAACAATCAAATATTATATTTTAACAAATAAAATAAAACTTAATTAAACTGGCATTCCGTCATCTATTCATGATAGCTGTAGTCAAAAACTTAAGAATATGTTTTGACAGTTCCAATGTTGCAGCTATCTGAGGCATTTTTTAAAAGAAAAGAATCAATGACTTAAGCTACAGTCCAGATAATTATGTACCAAAGTTGTCTACACAAATATTTATAACAATAAAGGAACAATGTTCAGTTAAAATAAATATGTACAATTTATGAATCATTATCATGACTAAATTTACCTATACTGAGACCTTAGAACTCATAACTCAAGGTGAGTGGCGACATTTACGTTGTAGATGTCTATGAGCTCCAGTAGCCGCTTTATACCAGGTAGTGGCTGTGAGCTCGTCCACCCATTTATGCAGTAAAAAAAATGCATGCATCATGATTAAAAGTAACAATACCACTACCCTTGTTGTTCTACATTGTTACAGTTATGCATCAAATTGAAGAGTATGATAACCAACAACAATATGGATATATTTTTCTATTACTTCATAATGTCTAAGGGCTGTTAACTGCTCTTGCTAGCTAGCCCTGATGCCAATAAAATCAAACTACTGTCTAAGATNCAGTAAAAAAAATGCATGCATCATGATTAAAAGTAACAATACCACTACCCTTGTTGTTCTACATTGTTACAGTTATGCATCAAATTGAAGAGTATGATAACCAACAACAATATGGATATATTTTTCTATTACTTCATAATGTCTAAGGGCTGTTAACTGCTCTTGCTAGCTAGCCCTGATGCCAATAAAATCAAACTACTGTCTAAGATCAAAATCACAAAACTCCATTATACTCTATTCACAAATGAAAAGGAACCACACCTGATTATTTTCTTTAACTGAAGCTGCAGCATTTGTGAAAAGTAATTCAGTTGTCCCATTTGAAGAGCTATGTTCTGTCGCGGAGGCTTCACCATTATTCCCATTTTCTTTAATAACTACCCTTTCACTAAGATTTTGACCAAACACAAAACTAGGTGCGGCTGGGCTGTTGGTTGCTGGCACCGCATTTACATTGCGAGAAGCCACATTTGCTCCACCTAAAGGCACAAACTGTGGCACCTCGATATTCTCTTTGGATTCATTGAGTCTGTTTTCAGAAGCTTCTTTGTCTTTCTCCTTTCCTGATTCTTCAATTGGGTTTGGCTTAAGGAATGGATTAGTTGTCGCTTTCAATTGTGGAGGGCGTAGCACTGAACCTAAGAAAATATTGGCATTAATCAAAACAAAAACAAAATTTGGTTGAAATGGCTCTAGCCATGTTTGATTTTAATTTGAATTTATTATTAAGTTGGGGATAAATTTTATAAAGGTAAGTGTAAGTTAGTTATAGGTTAGTTTAAAATTAATAAATACAAGTAATAAACAGACAACAGGAAAACTAACGAGAGTTAAAAATTATTAAGTTAAACATTATCTACTCAACTATAAAAAATTTAAACGAAATTATGTCCGAAAGACATGCCCAACAAAATAATAATTAATTGCAGCCAGTCGAAAATATCACAAGTGTCCATTTTTTATATAAATCTTACCAAAAGGATTATTTGCTTTATTCGAAGTGGAACTAAAACTGGGTGATCCAAATCCTCCTAAGCGAGGCTTGGCCAATACCATTCTGGTTTGTGATGTTCCATTGCACATATCTCCTGGGGTTTTTTCTAAAAAAATTAAGATCTTATAATACCATTGTTTTGAATAAAGTTTTGGATAAAGTCGTCGTGGCCTAAAGGATTAAGTCGTCGTGGCCTAAAGGATAAGACGTCCGGTGCATTCGTATATAGCGATGCAACGGTGTTCGAATCCCGCAAGCGGGTACCAATTTTTCTAATGAAATACGTACTTGACAATTGTTTACAATTGACTTCCACGGTGAAGGAATAACATCGTGTAATAAAAATCAAACCCGCAAAATTATAATTTGCGCAATTACTGGTGGTAGGACCTCTTGTGAGTCCGCACGGGTAGGTACCACCGTCCCGCCTATTTCTGCCATGAAGCAGTAATGCGTTTCGGTTTGAAGGGTGGGACAGCCGTTGTAACTACACTGAGAGCTTAGAACTTATATCTCAAGGTGTGTGGCGCATTTACGTTGTAGATGTCTATGGGTTCCAGTAACCACTTAACACCAGGTGGGCTGTGAGCTCGTCCAGATATCCAGGCAATAAAAAAAAATAAAAAATAAAAAGAATATGAAAATGAGGCAAAAACTTGAGAAGTTCCAGAATATTTGGAGAATCAACCCAAATGTTGACAGGTAATCTAATTTTCTCTCTAGACTACAACTGTCCTTACTATAGTTTGCATATATACACAATTAAAGTCTACTTAAACAAGTGTGAATGATTTAAAGATTCAATAATTTTGATGGCTTTATCGAAATCAATAAATAGTTGAAAAAAATCTAGTTTCAAAACAACCACAACTTGACTTTAAGATTGTGAATGGCCAACACAGTGATCATGTACCTAAATCTCTTCCAGTTTACATTGTTTGTTTTAACATTATTGCATCTTACTAGATCAGAAATATAGGGTTATTTATTTATTAACGTATTCTAGTTTATTAAACCACTACTATTTTAGTAAAAGGGAATCAAGTTCACATCATAAAGTAATGCAAAACTTGTTGACGATGTTAGATAGCGTATTTGAACATGTGAAAAAGAGAAGATCAATATTTCATTGTTCACAAAGCGTTGTTCAAATCTTACAGTGTATAAAGAAGGGTCTTTACTGCGAGAAATTACTAGTTTTCGCCGTCGGCACTATTTAATAAATATTACGTTGGCGATGAAGCATGAGGGCTTACTAGAGCATCCTGATATGGTAACTAGAATACGGTAAGTCATTGAATTTTATTAGAACTAATATGGGCTGTATGAATTTTAATAAAGTTGTGCGTTGTATTTCTTTGCAATTGTGTCACTATTCACAAAGTAAAATTTAATTTTGTACCTTGCTTTGCGTCTTCCATTGTCGATTTTTTCATTTTTTTTCTCACTTTTTGAGTTGCTAGTTACCAAAACGCAGAACTGTTTTTATTTTTTAAAACTGCTCTTTGCACAGATTAGTGCGGCCATTTATATTTTTGATAATTAATCGGCAAAGGCAGTTGATAACATAGTTGTTGCCCAAGTCATACTTAATACATCTAATATTTAGGAACCCGAGTGCAACTGCCCACCAGTTTTAATATTTTCACAGATAGGGCAGTTCCCCATCGACTTAAAATACATTAATTGACTACTCAGACCGTAAAATTAGCAGTTTCAGTATCACCGGTGTTCGAATCCCGCAGTAGGCGGGTACCAATTTTTCTAATGAAATACGTACTCAACAAATGTTCACGATTGACTACCACGGTGAAGGAAAAACATTGTGTAATAAAAATCAAACCCACAAAATTATAATTTGCGTAATTACTGGTGGTAGGACCTCTTGTGAGTCCGCGCGGGTAGGTACCACCATCCTGCCTATTTCTGCCGTGAAGCAGTAATGCGTTTCGGTTTGAAGGGTAAGGCAGCCGTTGTAACTATACTGAGACCTTAGAACTTATATCTCAAGGTGGGTGGCGCATTCACGTTGTAGATGTCTATGGGTTCCAGTAACCACTTAACACCAGGTGGGCTGTGAGTTCGTCCACTCACTAAGCAATAAAAAAAACAACGTTAATTAAAAATACAACACATACTCTTTATTAATATATAATAGGTCTGATAGAGTCACGGGTGAGAATCAACTATGGCATACAAATTAGAGCTAAGAATGCATAAAGTGATATTAACGAGAGCGAGTTTATGTAAATTTACCATGTTTTACCGCAATTTTCAGACATGATATTTTCTGTAAATCCGATGCTTAAAATCGAAAAGCACAACTAAACCTTTGTTGTGGTGTTGTGGCAGCTTATTAACCGTTTAGCATTTTTGAAAAAACTCAAGGTTGGCATTGTGAAACTAAACGCAGGATGTAATTTCTCAGGTTCTTCAAATAGTTAACTGGACTCTTAGAATCCCCACTATTTTACCGGGAGGCTATTTCACTTCAACGCGTCTAACATGCGATTTTGTCTCGTTTCACCTCTTTTAAATCCATATTAATTCATAATTAATATATTCTTTCCAAATTTGATTTAATTTGTACATTTTTATCACAACTTAAAATGGCTTCGACCTTTTTTGCAAAAGTTAGGTGTCTGGGCTTACTTCCCTTTGTTTGTCCAATCAGCGATTCAAAATTCAAACAAACGACACTGTCATTATTTGTGTACCTACTATCAGCAGTTGCCTCTGGAATCGAAATTTTGTTTGTGAAAACCTGACCTGACCAACCACATTTTACATTTGTCATTTAAACAAAAGCCATTAATTTATGTAGTTACCAACGTAAAATATTATTATTACATTCCAATAAAAATAACTTACGGATAGTGTTATCAGATCACGTATTAAAATTACAACACACTAATCATACAAATGTGTTTTAGTAAAATTAATAGTTTTATGAGAGTTGAAGTTTACAAACTTCGATTTCTATGTAGATAATTGGTTGTTTCTTTCGGAAACGAATATACATTGGGCNATGTAGTTACCAACGTAAAATATTATTATTACATTCCAATAAAAATAACTTACGGATAGTGTTATCAGATCACGTATTAAAATTACAACACACTAATCATACAAATGTGTTTTAGTAAAATTAATAGTTTTATGAGAGTTGAAGTTTACAAACTTCGATTTCTATGTAGATAATTGGTTGTTTCTTTCGGAAACGAATAAACATTGGGCTTGCATAAAGGCGACTTCAAATAGTAAATAAAGGTAAATCTTTTTTTTGTTTTTAAATATTTGAAATGAAAATCACATTTGATTTTGTTTCATCACGTTTAATTTTCAGTGTAGATAAAACATATAGTACGTTAAAGACTAAAATATAAAAAGAAGTTTCTTGCCCAGCATGATTTCCAACCTAAAAACTATGAAAATAAAATTACACAAATGAAAGTAAATAGCAACTTTGCAAGTTTTTTTTAATAAATTTTGGACTATATTTTAGTATGGTATCAATAAAACAAACCTTATAAAATTTTTTTCATTTCTGTTTACAATTTCCTAATGAAATAAATGGAAGAAAAAACTTAAATAGGAAAAATTGAAATAATATTAAAACCAACTTACAGTGGGATAGGTGTAAATTTAGTTAGTTTGAATCTCAATAAATAAATAAAAAATTATTAGTCTATTCAAATAACTTTAGCTTATTTTTAATACGCAACACTATTCAAAGCCAGCTTGTTTTGCAAAACGCATTCCTTTTTTACCTATTAAAACATTTTACAGTGACTACGTAATTCTAAATATGATAATCTTAAAATATAGATACCATATAACATACAAAGCATTTATGAGTGCTGTGAAGTGAAATTTAATCTAAAAAAATTAATGTGTAACTTAGGTATAAATTTAAACATTACAAAGTTATGTGAAATTAAAAATGGACCGTGGTAAAATACTGAAGTTTATTTATACAATTGTCAGTCTAAGAATGAACTAGGTTGTCAGAAAAATGACACTAACATTTATAATCTTAAAGCACAAAAAGCAAAGAGTAATATGTAATTGGTCTCAAACACTTCAGTGCCTATATGGATATTAAATTCATTTATTTTCTTCATTATTTGCAAGTAATATGTTGCTGTAAGGTAAACATTTTGAATATAAAGTTTTCATTCAGATTACGAAAACATCCATACATCTGGAAGATTTTGGATATGAAAATTATTCTGAAAATGAATAAACATTTTAAGGGGTAAAGGCCATTTGGTTTAAGCAAACTTTTGCAACTGCACAGTAGAGCCATTCAAAGGTTAAAATTTTATAACAAAAAAACTTCTTCAGCTATTTGAATGGGGTAAACTTGATTGATGTTCAATTAAAAACATTGAATTGTTGATGTTAATACTAAATAAAAGAGACCGAGAATATAAAGTGAGACAGTATCCACTATGTGGTATCTATGGGTTCTGCTAGAGACTGAGATAACCGCTATTTTTTTTTTTTTTTTTTTTATTGCTTAGATGGGTGGACGAGCTCACAGCCCACCTGATATTAAGTGGTTACTGGAGCCCATAGACATCTACGACGTAAATGCGCCACCCACCTTGAGATATAAGTCCTAAGGTCTCAGTATAGTTACAACGGCTGCCCCACCCTTCAAACCGAAACGCATTACTGCTTCACGGCGGAAATAGGCGGGGTGGTGGTACCTACCCGTGCGGACTCACAAGAGGTCCTACCACCAGTAAAAAAAGCTAGAGAAAAGGTGAACTATGGGTTGTTTGTTTTGTCGCCTATTATAGAAATATTACATTGTTGTGTAGTCTTAATGGCTCCCAATCTACATTCTTCTTATCAAAACATTTAACAACAAACTGTTTCCATATTAGGATTTATTTTGAATTTAATTAATTAAAGATTAATTTAATTACCTAAAGCATGACAGACATTTTTTACATAACAGCAACATCAATTTTTTTTATTGTTTGTAATTTAGTGATCTCAAGAACATTTAGAATTTAAATAAAACTTTTTGATGAAATTGATGGAACATCTCTATTAGACGCGGCCTGGCAGCGACGTTGTCTACTCAGCTGCAAGCGCACGTGTATGGTTTTTGAACAATTCGTAAGCGTTTCAGTCGCAGCCAAATTTTAAAAGGTTTTTATAAAGAAATGCCACTCACCTCGGCGAGACTTTGGCATTGAAAACTATTCACTAGTACTAACCGACACGTGCTTTATTCATATTCCTTCGTTCACGAAAAACGTTATATTAGAAACTTCGGAAATTATTAAACCGGAAAAATAATGCCATATTTAAATTAATTTAGTTCAATGTTATGAAGGTTGATACGAAAAAAAAAAGTGTAGGTATTCTCCGAATTTGATACGTGCATCGCGTAGAGCCTAGCGTACTAACCGCGGCTCAAATTTGAAATACGAATAAGCGTACCGTCGTGCATACGTCAGATTGTACTGGGTACTTGTGATTCGGTGTGATAACAGTGACGTCGCATGATAAGATCCACGGGACGAACACGTCGAAGCCAAATCAGGTAAGCGTCGACAGTCGGTGAGAGATATCTACCCGTAGTCGACTGCGTCGGTTGTTCTAGATAAACAAATGGAATACTGTGATATGCAGTGTATAAAGTCGATAAAATTGTGATCTAGTGAAGTGCTTGTAAAATTACAGTGATGAAGGTTGATGCCGTTACAATTTGTACTGGCCGATGTGGGAATTGCAGTATTAAAAATGGTACGAGAAGTAAATAAATTGAAAGCTACAAAGCGGTTGTGTTTTATATCTTTATCGATCTCAATCTAGCGAATTTAAGATTTAATAACCTCTGACGCTCTTCAATTGATACTCTGCTCATGTACAATTGTGAAGTGAAACAGACAGAATATATAATCTTTCAATTGCAGAAAAAGTTATAAACTTAATGTTTATTTTTGTTAAAAAATCCCTAATGAAACAAAAGTTTAAACGTAGAATTAGTAAAAGTAAAATTAAACATGAAATAATTTTGTTATCTTTGTTTGAGACGAACTAAGTGTTAGTTTTACCATTATTTTGTGAAGCCTATTTTGTGCTTTTAAATAAAATGTAAATAACGTGAGCTACATCGGTACTTAAAAAATATGTCATTCTTAAACTAAAAAGTAATAAGCGTAAGACTGTCATCATCATCATCATAGTCGGTTGTTCTTTGCAGAGCAGTCGTGATCATTTGGAATTCGTTTTTATTGAAGCCATAACAGATTTTCTCCATAGTTCTATAGTTCCATAGTAAAACAGATGGTACGGTTTACGTCTTAAATACTAATTACATGCAAATTTTTTTGTTCATTAAAATAACACCGCCAATTTTAAAATGTACTCAAGTGGTAAATTACAACAGATCACTCTACCGAAACATCACAAATAAAACATAAAACAGCAAAACTTTTAGTAATAATGAATTTGTGGCTACCAAAATGGGGTTTATCGCGACATCATAGGCAACAGTTTAAAGAAAGGTACCGTTTGATAATTTATGATCTACTGGAGCTGCTAGGATTACTAAGACGATATTAAATTGTTGTAAATTGTAATGTATCAATTTTTAACGTTATTCATCGAATTTACATATATTGCATGTAATAATAACCCACTGAGTATCTAGTAGGATCTTCTCAATGATTCGCGATTCCGATCCGGTGGTAATTCTGCGAAGCACTGTTCTTGCTAGAGCCAGTGTTAGCACACTTGCTGAACTTGAACCCAGTGAACTCATCAACTACCTACATAGTGTTGCTGGAATATTTCCTTAGGCTACCAAAATGTTTATAAAGTAGTTATTTATTTATAACAAGGCACGGCGATAGTATTTACTGTGTTTTTTTTTACAAAAAAAAAAACAAAAATGTTTATCCGCTTCGACCCGGTGTTTCAAGGTAGCATCTGATTATGATGTCAACGGACTTGACGTTTATCAAAAATTCCTTGGAAACAGCGGCTAATTTACGTCAAACGAAAATGCATCGTAATGCTGTAAATAAACGGTTTTATCGTCGCAGGTACAATAATGGAAACTGACGAAGACTCGCGACGGACCAACATGCTGGATGACCTGCCTCCGATTAGTTGTGACAGCAACTTCGAGGATTCCGCCGGGAGCGGGTCCAACGAGATCGGCGATATGACATTCTGCATGGGAAATTACATCAGTGAGTTCATGAAGGTAAGCTATAAGCATTTTCTGAACTGTAAACCCAAAGGAAATAGTATGTGGCGGTAGCCATCATGCAACACAAGATATCTGACAAATGCCTGAATCTCGTTTACGACATTTTCAAGATAAGCTTGCATTAATGAGGCCGTCAGCGTGAAAGTGGCCTAAGCTTACTATAGTTAGTATGGAGGCAACTAGGTTTGAATTTTCGTGAATTTAAATTTGAGTAGACAAAAAGACCATACGCGTAAAAATGATGTTTACAAAGCTATGTGTTATTTATGGGTGAAACTATGGATAGGCTGGTTTTGCATCAAAATTTATTAAATTTTAAATAAATTCCAATATACGTACCTATAAGCTTGAATATAAAAAAGTGTGGGCTAGGCCACTTTTGCGCTGACTTCCTCAAATACAAGTTCCGAAGTACAACATTCAGACCATCGGTCTACCGGGCAATCTCACCCGCTCGGTGCAAGATCTTTCCTTTCGTCGTTATACCCACAACTAGCGGCGGTACCCGCCTGCGAGATTCGAACACCGGTGTATCGCTCGATACGAATGCACCGGACGTCTTATCCTCTAGGCCACGACGACTTCTACAACGTAAATGCCGTCACCTACCTTGAGATATGAGTTCAAGGTGTCAGCACAGCTACAACGGCTGACTCACCCTTCAAACAAAAACGTATTACTGCTTCACGGCAGAAATAGGCAGTATGGTGGTACCTACCCGTACGGACTCAAAAGAGGTTCTATAACCAGTAGTAACCAGTAGATGTTAACCACTCACCATAAGGTAGGCCGTATGCGCGTCTGCTACAAGGCCAATAAAAAAAAAGTACTCTACGACTCTCGCTTCTACGGTGCATCACAGGATTTATAACTGATAATTTTCCACTGTTTAGTGTTTGATGCGATTTATCTAATTTCTATCACGCTTTTATTAGCTTGATATGTATGTGTACATTCCTTTGTATGTAACGGAATCTTTCAATGTCATGTTCACCGCCGTCAACACGTCTGATTAATAAATAAAAATTTTACACGTATCAAGACCCGATAACAATACAATTATTTTATGGCTTATTTCTTCTTCGGCTTCGTTTCAATATCCTGACGAGTGGCAATAGGATTAAATCGGGAACGTTGGTTCAGTTGGCTATATAAGCGTGATTTTTTTATAAACTACATAATTTTGTTAAAGATCAAATCGCTCTAAAAACCTAATTAAATCTGTCATGTCACGCTACCTTATCATCATAGCGGTATTTAAAAAAAATTAGCACAATGTAGGTACTTTTACTCAATAATAGCCGTATAATAAATATATTGTGTAGTGTGGTTAACACACTCATTATTTCCATCCTATTGTTCGCCCCGTCAAGATCTAAATTAACATTTGATTTAATTAAAGTTTTGTTATTAACTTTTTTTCAAAGCTAGGCTAAACACTTTCCATAATTATTTTATTGATAAGAATAAATCTCATCAATAGATAGCTACTAAAAAAAAAGAAGAAATATGGTTGACGAACAGATGAGTGACTTGTTCACTGAACAGTTTGTCTATCGTCGTGGACATAGAGTAGACGGGCCATTAGCCGCCGAGAATATTTCGCTTTTATCCATATAATTATATTTATTTATACAACACTAATGAACATATATGTATAAACATAAATCGTATCGTAATCTCTCAAATCTTAACCTGGAGCACGACTGAATTCTAATTGTGTGGAAAAAAACGTTTTCATTTAACTCTACTTAAGTGCCACCTATCGTGCGTTAACGGTACTAAAAACAACCCCGAAATACCAATAATAACTGTACTAAGTTACATCACAATCGAACACAACCGAATGAATGCACTGCAAATGCTGTTTGGGAGACAAACATTCATTTATATTTATAGCTCACTCAATAATGTTTACAAAAACACACAAAAGTGATATTTAAATTAAGTCGTCTATTATCAAAGGTGGCAATCTGTGCATTTGGACAAAAAAAAATTATTGATATGTCAATACAGATTGATTTGAATATAATCGTCTCCTTCAAAGAATACGGTTCAAAACCTGCATTAAATAAAGGTTAATACTTAACCTGTTATTTATCTAAGATGTCGTTCAGAAGAGTTTTGTGACTGCCAATGGAATACAAAGTCAATNATTTAATTTGACGAATTTTTGGGACCAACTTAACTCATATTTAGTACTTCCATAGTTAACTTGGTTTTTCTTCTATACATTGATAAATATTAACATAAACAAAATTAGGTAGATTCCGTGCTACAGGTACTTTGAGAATCTTCCGCAGGTTTGTCCCAATTTACCCCAGGATCCCAATTTACCCCATGTCATGGTACCCACAACTAGTATACATAATAATAAACAAAAAAAGTACTCTACAACTCTCGCTTCTACGGTGCATCACAGGATTTATAACTGATAATTTTCCTCTGTTTAGTGTTTGATGCGATTTATCTAATTTCTATCACGCTTTTATTAGCTTGATGTGTATGTGTACGTTCTTTTGTATGTAACGGAATCTTTCAATGTCATTTTCACCGTCGTCAACACGTCTGATTAATAAATAAAAATTTTACACGCATCAAGACCCGATAACAATACAATTATTTTATGGCTTATTTCTTCTTCGGCTTCGTTTCAATATCCTGCCGAATGGCAATAGGATTAAATCAGGAACCTTAGTTCAGTTGGCTACATAAGCGTGATTTTTTTATAAACTACATAATTTTGTTAAAGATCAAATCGCTCTAAAACCTAATTAAATCTGTCATGTCACGCTCCCTTATCATCATAGCGGTATTTAAAAAAAATAGCACAATGTAGGTACTTGTACTCAATAATAGCCGTATAATAAATATATTGTGTAGTATGGTTAACACACTCATTATTTTCATAGTATTGTTCGCCCCGTCAAGATTTAAATTAACATTTGATTTAATTAAAGTTTTGTTATTAACTTTTTTTTAAAGCGAGCCTAAACACTTTCCATAATTATTTTATTGATAAGAATAAATCTCATCAATAGATAGCTACTAAAAAAAAAAAAGAAATATGGTTGACGAACAGATGAGTGACTTGTTCACTGAACAGTTTGTCTATCGTCGTGGACATAGAGTAGACGGGTCATTAGCCGCCGAGAATATTTCGCTTTTATCCATATAATTGAGTCGACTATTATCAAAGCCGGCAATGTGACTTTTGGACAATTATTGGTAAATCAGAAAAACGAATTATTGACTTTGTATTCCATTGGCAGTCACAAAACTCTTCTGAACGACATCTTAGATAAATAACAGGTTAAGTATTAACCTTTATTTAATGCAGGTTTTGAACCGTATTCTTTGAAGAAAACGATTATATTCAAATCAATCTGTATTGACATATCAATAACATTTTTTTGGCCAATAGCACAGATTGCCACCTTTGATAATAGACGACTCAATTATATTTATTTATACAATATTAATGAATATATGTATAAACATAAATCGTATCGTAATCTCTCAAATCTTAACCTGAAGCATGACTGAATTCTAATTGTGTGGAAAAAAACGTTTTCATTTAACTCTACTTAAGTGCCACCTATCGTGCGTTAGCAGTACTAAAAACAACCCCGGATTACCATTAATAACTGTACTACGTTACATCACAATCGAACACAACCGAATGAATGCATTGCAAATGCTGTTTGGGAGACAAACATTCATTTATATTTATAGCTCACTCAATAATGTTTACAAAAACACACAAAAGTGATATTTAAATTGAGTCGTCTATTATCAAAGGTGGCAATCTGTGCATTTGGACAAAAAAATGTTATTGATATGTCAATACAGATTGATTTGAATATAATCGTCTCCTTCAAAGAATACGGTTCAAAACCTGCATTAAATAAAGGTTAATACTTAACCTGTTATTTATCTAAGAAAGATGTCGTTCAGAAGAGTTTTGTGACTGCCAATGGAATACAAAGTCAATAATTCGTTTTTCTGATTTACCAATAATTGTCCAAAAGTCACATTGCCGGCTTTGATAATAGTCGACTCAATTATAATGTCATTAGAACACATTTTTAAAGTGTGCCCCTCGGGAACTGACGACGTTATAATAAATTCAACATAATAATATGAACAAATAATGTCCACATCCTCAGCTGAAATTGTAGACCGAAATGATTCTAGCAAAACTCTTGTTTAATTGAAAAATATTTAATAGTAGTGCTTCGTAATTGTTACTGTTTTGTTTGAAAACGTTTTGTTTTCGAATCACGAGTGTTTTAAATACCGGTATTTGATGGTTTGACGCATATAACAAATCACAAGAACAAAACATTCAAACTAAACGTTGTACAGGAATTATTCATTAGTAAAATAATGTTTAAAATATAACATTTTGGATAAATAAATTTTATTTTATTTCGAAACAATTTATATCTCATAAACTGAATCTCAATACGAGTTTTTTTTAATAGATCTAGGTAATTAAACCTCTGTTCCAATCTGCTCTGTATTAGCAAAATCTTAATTAACTTAGACAGTTCTTGGTCTGTAAGTAAATATTATAAATCTTAAGTAAAAAAACCTAATCTTACCTTTATTCCAAGTATTTCAAAACTCCAAAATCAAATTCTTGTATTCATAGACAGTATTCGATACCTATAATTACAAATTGGATACATTGCGACGCGTGATCCGACTGTTATTGAATTGTGACGTAGGGTGAAACAGCAAACATGAAGTTGGTTCGATAAAATTAGGTTGACGTAATTACCTACGTGATGTTTTAAATGCTCTTTTCCGTTTTCGTGTTCCGCTCGTCTACCTACCTATATACGTAATAAATAAAACTAGAGGTGCCGCAGTAGTCGAAATTCGACTATAATTAATTGGAATTGTAAGTTTATACACTATTATGATTGTATTTTATACTTCTATAATCACAAATTTCGCCAAGACTACACTATAAAAAATATTAACAA